GACACTCTCATACGCAAAAAACCAAGAGAGTAAAATAATATAAAAGTTTTTAAAGGCAAATAGAAAAGATGAATATCCGTAGATTTTCTACTATTCTATTTGTTCCAGATTATATGATATTTTAGGAATTTTACTCTTATTAAGAAACAAAAAATATTTAATTACTTTTTTTATCTTTCCACTTTCCAAAAATTCTTTTAACTCACTTATTAAATGCTCTATAATCATTATAAATGAACTTTATAATACTCTATCACTCTATATATCGGGTTGTTTACAAATGAATGGAGTATTTATTCATTTTCCCATAAATGTGTATTAAATCATTCTTGTAAAATATAATAGCACTAAATTCTTCTAAAACATCATTTATTTTAGAACAAAAAAAAATCTTAAAACATCATCTATACAGAGGAAGTACATTCCAATGAATCTCTCTACTACTACTTTAAAAAAGAAAAGTAAACCAAGGTGTTTCGAAGTGAAAACAAACAAGTAGAAGTGTGATCTGCATAAACTGTTTTAATTTTTACAATCTTTTAGTAGACCGAAACTTCGTAGGTTTAATTGTGATCAGGCCAAACTAACCAAATCGACTAAATCGAACAAAGTCAAACTAATACAAAATATTTTGGTTTGTATTTTTCTTTAAACCTAAACAAAACTAACAGAAAAAAAGAAGAAGACAAATTCAAACTGAAATGTGCTACTCTATTAAACCGCCCGACCAATTAAGACTTTATTAAATTAGTTTTAAAGAGAAACACCTTTATTTGTTATTCCTCAATCACATTAATTTCGATTCATGAATTAACCATTAAGTTTTGGTACGAAAAAAGGGATTAACCATTAAGTTGTTTCTATCCAATATTAATTCTTAGCTACCTAACTCTTTTAATTGTAAATAACTGTACATATATTGGTCGCATCTGAATTTATGTTATCGTACAATATGTTCAAAGAGTCTAAAGTACTTATATTCAAATCGTTTTTGACCAAAAAATGAATAAATAATATATATATTCTATTATATAAAGGAAAATGATTTAACATTAGTTTTTGACCAGATCGCGACACATGTTAAATAAAAATTTTGATATGCATTTGATGAATTTCTATTTATATTTTTAATAAATTTTCTTTTTTTTTTGATAATTGATTCCTAATCATAAAAAGAAAAAAAAATTATGTTTAGATTAATGGAAAATAATAAATAAAAATATTTAAAAAACTATATTTTAGTGTAGCATAAGAGAAATTAAACAATACATTACACATTCGTAACCAAAAAACTATATTTCAATGTAGCTAAATTTCAGTTTATAAGCTAATTTTTTTAGTTAATAAGCTACATATACTTTTTATTTTCTGTTATTTCTGTTAAGTGAATACATAAAATGGTTATTTTTACATTAATTTAGTTACGTAGAATATATATTTTTTTAATTATTGTAGATCTATTATTTTTTGTTTAAATAATATTATGATTGTTGATAACTTTATTTTTAATTTTATGTATAAAATATTTTTACAGGTGATTTCGTTTTCTGTTTTCTAATTTTTGTTTGTTTTGTTTTCATGGATTATAAAAATATTAAATTATAAACATGCATATATGCAAGTATTTATCTAGATTTTTATGTTAATTTATAGAATGATTATTGTTATATTAGTGCAGTTATATTAGAATAATTATATTTAAATTATTGTATTTCTATTATTTTGTGTGTAAATAATTTTGTGATTGTTGATAATTTTATTTTCAAATTTTTGTATTTAATATCTTTATGGATGATGTTATTTTGTTTTGAATTTCTTTTTTTACTTTTTGCAGATTATAAAAAAATAAAATTAAAAATCCGTATTTATGCGGATACTTATATATAAAAACACACAAATCAAACTGAAAATGGATTTGAATTTTATGGAAGTGTTGTTAGTTTTTTTTTTTCGAAAAAAAACTTAAGTCAGTTAGATTTAACTAAGTACTAACAAAACTTCCAGAAAATTCAAATCTGTTTTCAGTTTGATTTGTGTGTTCTCTTAGAGCCAGATAGTTTTGAAAAGTATATTTTATGAGGTCTAACGAAGCTGAACCTAAGTAAAATTCGGTTTGGGCTCCAGTACTATTAATCTATTATGTTACCTCAAATTATACATGCCGCTTGCCAAATGTCAGAAAATTGTGGTATTTATTCATGCCTAAGGAAATATTTTGGGTGGTAAAAATAAATACTAGCTCATCAGGACCTAACATGCTTTCATTGTATGTATATATACATGTGTGTGTATATATAGGCAGTAGACACACATTAAGGGACATATATAATTAAAATACAGATTGGCACCACCAGAACTAATTTTATTCTTGTACCGATAAATTATAATATATATAAATATACATATATATTCTTTTTTTTTCATATACTGTATTAGTAATTCAATTGTGGTATGATGCATGTGTATTCTTCTTTAATGTATTAGGTGGCGACTGGCCATGCTTGTGCATCTGCTTATGTACCCACCACTTTCTCGCATCTCATTATAATCAAAATCACTATATTTTGCTCATGTTTGTTCTAAATAAAATCTTATTTCTTTTCCATCTATCAAAGTAATGAAAAAAATATAAGATACATCATGATCATGATGGATTATGTGAGCCAAATATTGATGTATCTAAGGATTTTGTGTTTTTCTCTCACGTTATCTATATCTCCTCAATCGAATCACAGGATATAGTTACATATTAGAATCTTTTTTTGTTTACATATTAGATTCTCTTTTTGTTTAAATAGTATCATTTGATTCAGCACATCTTTATCTATTCCTAAATTCGTATTATCTCTTCAAAACTTATATAGTAACAAATGAATTTTAGCTTTCAAAGTATGTATATGCAAAAACCCATCTCTCAGTCCAAAAAATATTCAGATGCTACGGAACATCAAAAGAATGACAATAAAAAAGAGTTTAATTTTAAAGCTCATGAAAATGACAATAATGTACAATAAAATAAAATCAAATACTCTTTGTATCTGTCAACTTCATTAACTCTTAAGACGTGTCTCTTGGCACACATGTATACATTTGTGAAAGTGCTAATAAACCATTAAATTTTTTCTGTTTTCTTTTTAGTTTTGCTGAGTAAAGAAACGGTTGTTGCCAACCTTATGTCTTTAGGTGATAATCTAGGACAGTAATCGGTAAAGACAACCTTTTTTTCTGAATAAATTTCTCTGAAATTTATTCCTTTGCTTATTTATCATATTGTTATCTGGCTAACGTACGTGTGGGTTGGGTTTATTCAATCCTTATTTCTAAAATTGATTTTGGTTAGTGGAGATATATTTCAAATTCAGTCTTGTTAAGTATGAAACCTATCATATTTCAACTTTCTCAGGAAAAAAAAACCTATTATATCTTAGCCAAAGTTATAAAGGTTGCAAAACACATTAAATTTAAACCAGTTAATTGTAATAGCTAGAGGTTATCGTTATATTGGTCGTAAATATAGATATAATTTTCATTTGGCATATTTTTGACTGGCTACTGCAGATTTCACATAACGTCTGCTGCTCCCTCATATTATACGTTATAATTTGAGTTGGTCATAGAACCGTATAATCACTTATTTTAGGTGGTCTATGTTTAATTGACCTAAAATAATCATTTATTTTTCTTATAAGTAAAAATGTTAGGATGTGTAGCGACCACCTAAACCTGCTTTTCGAGAGAAAAAGATTATATCAAATTTTAAGTAAAGAAATTATCAAAATTAGTGACTTTGATGCTTAAAACAAAATTTTGAGATTGGAATAGATTGAAGTGACTCGGCTGCTAAGAAAGTTTATTACTTTAGAACTTAGCCTCATTGTATGTTGGAGCTTCGAAGAAATTTTTTGTGTCAATGAATGGACCCAAAAGGAGAAAAAAATTGTAAAAAAAAAGCAAATGGAATAATATGTTTATTTATCATATAAGAAATTATTGCATGGCTCTTAAAAAAAAGGAGGTTATATGCTATATGGAGCATCTTGAGAACTTTGATTTTGTGTTGGATTCTTTGATTGTAACCAAAGATGTACACTTTTGTGCCCACTTCTCACTTTCGAAACTTTTGCTGAATTATTGGTGAGTTTCTTGTTTTTTATTTGCATTAAACAATTATTTTATTTATTTCTTTTGATCATGATGAAAGTTCTTTCACAAATCGCATATATTCTTTCAAAGGTTTATGTGAGAGAGGAATAATCATAACATTCTTTTGTCCATTTGTTCCAACTTTCAATGGACTAGCTTTCTTCTTATCCTTTATTTCCGCACTTCAAGTGCGTTTTTTTTCTTCTCCCATCACATAATTCGAAATTAAACTTTATTAACTATTCATGGTATAACTTGTTTGAATCTGAAATTTATTTTACTAATTATTTTTAATTGATGGTACATAGGAAATGTTTTGTTGAGTTTAGCACCTTCAGTTTCGCATCATTAATATGCAACAAACAAATGCCACCATTTAGTAGAATCACTAAAGTCTTTTGATTGGTGATTTTATAGGGTTATTTTATACATAGAGCTTTAGAACCGGATCAAAACATAATATAATATGAACCTAAACTTTTAGAGTCGTTAAAGAAACTAGTTTCACGGATCAGCCAGTGGACAGATTGCGGGTCTAACGAATGTTGTCCGAACAGAGATACATTTATATAGTTAACAAAATGTAATTTATATGGTCAAAAAGAAAAATGTAATTTGTGAAACAAGTGGTTATTTTTTTTAATAAAACTTTTCCATTATATAGTACGGAAGAGAAATAGAAGGGTGAAATACAGTTTTGATACATGATAGAAAACAAATATTTCCTGGAGACAAAGCCTAAGAAAGGAAAGTGCTAACCCAAAAGAGAGAAAACATACAAAAAAATCTGAAGAGATCACAAAAGACCAAAATTATGAATGAGGAGAGATCCAAGGAAAGGTCGAAAAACTCTAAAGAAACAAGTGGTAATTTAGATAGCTTTCTATGAATTCATTACAATATGATACAATTTAAGATAAACTGATTGCAAGCCATATGGACTTTAAGTCGTCAAAACTGAGAAAGCAAGCTTGGACTTCCTACAGGTCACCCGTAGACCTAATGGGCTGACTTCATGGAACAAATTGGGTACGAGTTGTTACATGTTACTGGGCCTAATGGCCCATAAATAATTGAAGCTTTCCGAAAAGCAAAGCAAGGGCTTTCTTGGTGCGCAAGAAAGGAATCCTTGTCCTTTTATTTCTACAGAAATGCTGGTCTTATAGAAATACTTTGCAGTTTTTTTTTTATGTTTGAGGATAAAACCTTAACATCTACCTAAATTTCATGAACTTTTCTGAATAAAAAAAAGAAGCATAGTGATGACTTCTTCTTCTCCTTCCTCTTCATCACATCTTCTAAGGTCATTTCAAAAAAGGTAACAGTAGATACTCTGCATAGAACAGCTGATGACACAAAAATGAAGAAATTATCAGTAAATGGTGATACGATGAACTTGAAAAGACTCTTTTAAATCCGAAATGGAGAAAAGAAAAAATGCGATAAAGACTCTTGGTTTATAGCTATAGTCTAACCTTCCAAATGAACATATAACATGATGTTATTTCGGTTTTGCTACTCAGATCAATGGACTTAGCTCGAGTCCACAAGGTTGTTGCGAGAATGACATGACCAACAACCTAAACAAATTAACAGGAACAAAACCAAAACCATTATCACTGAAACTATGAACTATCGCAGTTTGATTGGTAGAGAATGATTGTTACCGAGATGACTTTGCTCCATATGAAAGGAGACGTGGCTCCAACTACAATCGCAACAGCGTAAGCCATTTGAAGTAGTGAAATACATGTCCAAAACACCTGTATTTTGTAAGAAAAACAAGTGGTTCTTTGGTTCTTTAATCTTAAGTCAACGCTAGATTTACAAACAAACTCTTCAGTTTTGAAAATTTACCCGTTTCTGACCCAAAGTTACAGAGAATGATCGGATTCCAAAGATCTTATCCCCTTCAATATCAGGTATATCCTGCATCAAATCAATATAGAAAACTTCTTAACCATACAAAGAGTAGAATGCTTTACTTTTGAGTATCCACAGAGTTACTTTCTCCATCTTTGTTTACCTTAAACAATGCGATAACGACAGAGAAGAAGCTCATAAACGCAGTGGCGAAAATAAGAGGCCTTGTGAACATGACTGGTCTTCCAAACACATGGGTCTGCAAGAAAGTTCACAGCTTTGGTAACATAAAAGTTGATGTTGATGGAAAACTTCAAAAGGTAAGGGAAGACGGTTAAGTACCTGAATATGTAGATAAAAGGCGATTTGAACAATAACAGCTCGGACAGCGAGGATACACATTGCTGCAACCAATGCAAATCTTTTCCACCGTAAAAGTGGCAACTGCTTGTAGTAGGACAAAGTTTAGTAAAAGCTCATCAAACCAAAAACCAGACCTGAGTTTGAGCCATATTCTAGTGGTGACAAGCTTACTTACATTGATGGAATATGCAGTACCGAGCATGAAACTCACAAAAAGAGCCCAGAATAATGGCCACGAACCAACAATCCACCCCAGCCAGAAACTCTACAACGGTTTTAACAGATTTAAATCTATATACATAGACTTCTAAAGGTTAGAAGAAGTTTGTATGAAAACTGCATCATACCATGATGGAGAAGGAAGCTACAATCGCAATGCCGGTTTTAACAGTATATTCCCCTGACGCTAATGGAAGATATGGCTTGTTAACCTGCAAAAAATCCACATAGAGTAATGATCTAAGAAACAGTGAAATCTTCTTCCATCTCATCAGTCTTTATCGGAGTCACATGAAGAGAAAACGCACACATGTTTAGTACCTTATCTATTTCAACATCAGACAACTGATTTAGCCCGACAATGTATATGTTCATCATCAGGGCTGCAACAACAGCCTGAGAACAAAACAAAAAAACTGTTCAAACAGAGTAAACAAATCGCGTATAGTTTCGTTCAATCATATAATCATTTAGTTACCTCCAAGATGCCCGTGAAGAGTAATGGGGATATGTCAGAACTCTTTTCTACTGCTAAGAAAGATACAGATAAAATGCTAAGCACCTGCAAAACAAAAACCAATGTTATCTTCTTGATGAACCCGAAAGATCTTGGTTAAAAAGAGAAAAGCTTTTTCTTGAGAGAAACTTAACTGTGCCTATAACGGTATGAGGCCTAGAAAACCTATAGAACGCATCTAAAGAGTCTCTAAAAGAGTTTCCTTTGCTCTTCGAGTCGAAAGCCTCGGGCTGACCCGCAGTGGCGTTTACACGAAATCTCGATTTATGTCTCGAATACAACAACAGTGACGGTTCTTGACCATCAAGCCTAACAAGATTGTTCCTTAACTTTGGTTTTGCAAGAACTTTACTCGAATTACAATGCAGGACTCGGATTTCTGCAAATTGGGTGTATTGTGTAAGAGTTAAAACAGCATCAGATGTATATACATTTCTATACATGCATTCTCAAAGGTAAGATTCTCAAATCAGCAGAAACTTAACTAAATCCATTGTCTTGTAAACATCAATTAGAAAATGTGAATCGAATATAAGTAATTAAGAAGCAGATTAGCCAGATTCCGTAGCTTAGAACAGTATGAAATTAAGCGGATTGAGTTATGAAATTTAGAAAACCCAATAAAACCATAAAACGCACCTGATAAAGATTGGAGCTTTAGATTCTGCTTCCTCCAGCAAAGTCCACCAGCTGATAAATTGCATGCATGAGATACAAACTTCAAATTAAGCTTCTCCATACATATAAAAAAACACCTATGTGACCTACCTACTTCGATCTTATAAACAATTCATTAAAAAAAATTGAACCTTTAAAAAATCAGACTTTTGTTTGGAACTGAATCACAAAAGAAAACCACGAAAAGGAAAAACAAAACCAGAAAAGGAAATAGATCTAGACGAGATTTAAAGAAGAAGAAGAAATTACCAGCGGAGAGAAGAGAAGTACTAGAGAGCAGAGACTCCATGAAAGCTCAAGAGAAAATTCAAAAACCAAAATCAAAGAAATGATCTTTGGGACGAACACAGAGCAATAAATAATGCCTTAAGCATGAGAAGTTGCGGAATCCCGCACAATTGGTCGATGGAGATGAATAATTAGTGTCGGTGTTGCGTGTTTTTAATAAATTCAGAGTTCCATTTGTACACTAAAAACATATAAATTTTAACTTTTCTAGGAAGTCTTAGTGAGATGCAATTAGAATAGACTTTTTTAGAACTTGAAGAAGAACGTATCTATCAAAAATATCATCAGTAGAGAAGATTTTCTTAGTTAGCAAAAAAAGTGTGGTCTAGGTTTGCCACTTGTTTCAAGTACAAAAATCTGAAGGGGGACAAAATATATCACGTGTTGTTGTCTAATTACATGCAATAGTGTCAATTCGGTTCAATTCGGTTTGTTTGGATTCGAATTTGGTGTTACGGTTTGGTACAAAATGGCCAATCTTTATTCCGATAGGGACGAGCTTTTTCTTACGGCCATTCAAAAAATCCGACTTTTAGTCAATCAAAGGCGCTAACTTTCTTGTTTATCTTCTTTCTTTCTTCTTCTTCTTCTCTGCTTCACCATAACAAATCCCTCAAAATCGGATAACGTCTCTCAATGGACGGTGCTCTCTTCCCTCACAAACCTCCATACCCAATCCAATCCAAAAAACCTCCACCATCTCAATCCTCTAATCACTCCGTCAAATTCAGCTCCGCTACACTCCACTTACCTCCTCCTTCTCCTCCTTCTTTTCCTCTCGATTCGCTCCTCCACCACCTCGTTCACCTCTCTTCCACGCCGCGAAATGCCAACTCCGCCGCCGCTCGTTTCCCTTCCCTCGAGGTCTCCTCCACGGAATCGGCTCATAAATGGGGCCATGAGGTGAAATCGGCGAGACCCGATTCGATTCCGGTTCTGGGTATCGAAATCGGAAGCGATGAAGGGAAATTCGGAGATGGGTCTTTGAAACTACTGTGCAAGAAGGAAGTTGTGCTGCTCAATTCCATTGTGGAGCAGCCTTTGCACGGATTGAGTGAGTTCTTCGATTCCGCGAAACCTGAGTTGCTCAGAACCGATTTGTTTAGTTTGGTCAAGTCTCTGGATGATTCGGGAAACTGGGAAAGAGCAGTTTTGTTGTTTGAATGGTTAGTTTTGGCTTCGAATTCAGGAGCTTTGAAGCTCGATCATCAGGTTATCGAAATCGTAGTTAGAATCTTAGGTAGAGAATCTCAATACTCTGTTGCAGCTAAGCTGCTCGATAAAATTCCTCTTCAAGATCATCTGCTCGATGTTCGTGCTTACACAACCATCTTGTATACTTATTCACGCACAGGGAAGTATGAAAGAGCAATCAGCTTGTTTGAGAGGATGAAAGAGATGGGACCTTCACCTACTTTGGTTACTTACAACGTGATTCTCGATGTTTTTGGGAAGATGGGAAGGTCTTGGAGCAAAATTCTGTTAGTTCTTGACGAGATGAGAATCAAAAGGTTGCAGTTTGATGAATTTACTTGTAGCACTGTGCTATCTGCTTGTGCAAGAGAAGGTTTGTTAAGAGAGGCGAAGGAGTTTTTCGCTGAACTTAAGTCAGGCGGCTATGAACCTGGAACCGTAACTTACAATGCTTTGTTGCAAGTTTTTGGTAAAGCAGGAGTTTATACAGAAGCGCTAAAGGTTTTGAAAGAGATGGAGGAAAACAACTGTCCAGCAGATTCTGTGACTTACAATGAGCTTGTTGCCGCTTATGTTAGAGCTGGTTTTAGCAAGGAAGCTGCAGGTGTCATTGAGATGATGACTCGAAAGGGTGTAATGCCAAACTCAATCACTTACACTACAGTAATAGATGCTTATGGAAAGTCGGGAAAGGAGGAAGAGGCTTTGAAGCTGTTTTACAGTATGAAAAAAGCCGGTTGTGTTCCGAATACTTGCACCTACAATGCAGTGCTTAGTATGTTGGGGAAGAAATCGAGATCCAATGAAATGATAAAGATGTTATGTGACATGAAGTCTAATGGATGTTCTCCGAATCGGGTCACTTGGAACACGATGCTTGCTCTGTGTGGGAATAAAGGTATGGATAAGTATGTGAACCGGGTGTTCCGTGAAATGAAGAGCTGCGGTTTTGAACCTGATAGAGACACATTTAACACGTTAATTAGTGCTTTTGGGCGATGTGGTTCAGAGGTTGATGCGTCGAAAATGTTTGGTGAGATGACAAGAGCGGGCTTCAACGCTTGTGTCACGACTTACAACGCGTTGCTTAATGCCTTGGCTAGACAAGGGGATTGGAGATCGGGAGAGAATGTGATTTCCGACATGAAAAGTAAAGGATTCAGACCGACCGAAACATCTTACTCCTTGATGCTTCAATGTTATGCCAAGGGAGGGAACGTTCTAGGGATAGAGAGAATCGAGAAGGAGATAAACGAGGGCCAGATATTCCCGAGCTGGATGCTTCTGAGAACTTTGCTTCTCGCAAACTTCAAATGCCGAGCACTAGCGGGAATGGAGAGAGCATTCACGTTGTTTAAAAAGCACGGATACAAACCCGACATGGTGATTTTCAACTCGATGCTATCCATCTTCACAAGGAACAACATGTATGATCAAGCGCACGAGATTCTCCAGTCTATACGCGAGCACGAGCTAAAACCGGATCTTGTAACCTACAACAGCCTCATGGACATGTATGTAAGAAGAGGAGAGTGTTGGAAAGCCGAAGAAATCCTCAAGAGTCTAGACAAGTCTCAGTTAAGACCGGACCTGGTCTCTTACAACACGGTGATCAAAGGTTTCTGCAGAAAAGGGTTGATGCAAGAAGCGGTTAGGATGCTGTCTGAGATGACAGAACGTGGAATCAGGCCTTGCATTTTCACTTACAACACGTTTGTTTCGGGTTACACGGCGATGGGGATGTTTGAAGAGATTGAGGATGTGATTGAGTGTATGGCGAAGAATGAGTGCAGACCAAATGAGTTGACTTATAAAATGGTTGTGGATGGTTATTGCAGAGCAGGGAGGTATAGTGAAGCCATGGATTTTGTATCCAAGATTAAGACCCTTGATGCTTACTTTGATGATCAGTCCATCCAACGGCTAGCTCAACGAGTACGAGACAATTTAGAATCCTAAATGAAATTATATAATGTTTTTCCTTTTTGTAGATTTGTGGGTTTTTGTATTGAGATTTACATTTCATTTTCACTTAATAAAATAAAGCACAACTTTGAATCAATGAGGATGAAATATCAAGTTTAGTTTTTGTTGCAAAACACCATTTCTACATTTTGTCAAACCAAACCGAAGATCAATCAGCTGTGTAGCCTGAAGATAAAGCTACTTTGCGTAAACCGGAAATGGAATTAAACCGGGAAATTGAGGAACCGGTTAAGATGGAAAAAGGAGAGGCACTGAGATCTTGAGTCATCGACCCGACCGAATCTCTCTCCTCTAGAAAGTGGGCGGTGGAGTCTTTAGACATCCATTACCATTACCTACAAATATCAGATTGGTCATTGCTTGGCTCTTAATCAAAACTCTCTTATTCTTCTTTCTGGGTTTCAAGACGATTTCTGAGTTTGTTACCAAGTTTTGAGCTTTTTTCTTTGGTTGGGTGTACTGTATGCAAAATCAAATGGAGTGGGATAGTGATTCCGATCTCAGCGGCGGCGATGATGTGACGGATGATGGATGGTTCGGCGGAGATAACGGACCGATTCCGTTTCCGATGACTAGTCTTCCCGGAACGGCGCCGTGTGGGTTCGTGGTCAGCGACGCTCTTGAGCCTGACCAACCTATTATTTATGTAAACACCGTCTTCGAGATTGTCACTGGGTATCGAGCTGAGGAAGTTATTGGTAGAAATTGGTGAGCTTGCTTCTTCTTTACCCTGAAGTTTTGATCTTTTGCTACTCTGAGAATTGTGTTATTGATAACATGTAACAAGCGAGCTTGTTGAAGCTGTTTTGACGGAAAATTATATTCATTTGTTATGGTTCCTGTTGAGGAGCTTGAATCCGTTTATTTTGATATCTCCTTTGGTATTCGTAGCTAGAAGCATTTGGAATCATGGATTGGTTATTGAATTAGAGGTTAGTTCTAGATGAACAAAGCTATACTGTGAGGATTAGATGTTAGATTCAAGTTTCGAATGTTTTCTATTTGTCCGAATTACTATTTATAGCTTCCTTTACATCTCTTCATCGCTTTTTGAGGAGCTTTTGTTTTATTAATAGTTGAACTGTTAATATCTTTGCTTTGCCACACAAAATGTGATTAGAAATGCGTTTTTGTCTTATTATATGTTTTTGTTTAATCCGTTTTAGTCCATGTGGAATATAGTTTGATCTTTGTTCAGTTGAAGTTATGAAGATGGTTACTTATCTGAGTGGATTTGTTGCTCTTGTTCTCTTTTGGCAGCCGGTTCTTGCAGTGTAGAGGTCAATATGCTAAGAGGAGGCATCCATTGGTAGATTCTACGGTTGTGGCAAAGATGCGACAATGTCTCGAGAATGGCATCGAGTTTCAAGGCGAGTTGCTGAACTTCGGGAAAGACGGGTCTCCTTTGATGAACAAGATGCGTCTAGTCCCTATCCGTGAAGAAGACGAGATCACTCATTTCATAGGTGTTCTCCTCTTCACAGATGCAAAACTCGACCTCGGTCCATCTCCTGGCTTGTATGCAAAAGAAATCACGAGAACATCTCGCTCACTCTCCTCTGCATTACCAATCGGAGAGCGTAACGTTTCTCGTGGACTCTGTGGGATATTCGAACTGAGTGATGAGGTAATAGCTCTCAAGATACTGTCACAGTTGAGTCCTCGTGATATTGCATCGGTTGGTTGTGTGTGTCGACGGCTCAATGAGTTGACAGAGAACGATGATGTATGGAGAATGGTCTGTCAAAACACATGGGGAACTGAGGCTACACGTGTTCTCGAGAGTGTTCCTGGTTCAAAGAGGATCGGTTGGGTGCGGCTGGCCCGAGAGTTCACCACACATGAAGCCACCGCATGGAGGAAGTTTTCGGTTGGAGGCACTGTTGAGCCTTCAAGGTGTAACTTCAGTGCTTGTGCGGTTGGGAATAGGATTGTTATCTTTGGAGGGGAAGGTGTGAATATGCAACCGATGAATGATACATTTGTGTTGGACCTTGGCTCGAGTAGTCCCGAGTGGAAATCAGTTCTTGTTAGTTCTCCTCCTCCGGGTCGTTGGGGTCACACTCTCTCTTGTGTCAACGGATCTCGTTTAGTAGTTTTTGGAGGTTATGGGAGCCATGGATTACTCAATGATGTCTTCTTATTAGACCTTGATGCAGACCCTCCAACATGGAGAGAAGTATCCGGTCTGGCCCCTCCAATACCAAGATCATGGCACAGCTCGTGCACACTCGATGGAACCAAGCTGATTGTATCCGGTGGTTGTGCTGATTCAGGAGCTCTACTCAGCGATACATTCTTGCTTGACCTTTCAATGGATATACCAACATGGAGGGAGATACCTGTTCCATGGTCTCCTCCATCTCGCCTTGGACATACTCTAACCGTTTATGGTGACCGCAAGATCCTCATGTTTGGTGGTCTTGCGAAATCTGGTTCATTGAGATTCCGCTCTAACGATGTGTACACGATGGATCTTAGCGAGGATGAACCGTGTTGGAGACCTGTGATCGGGTATGGATCTAGCCTTCCGGGAGGCATGGCTGCTCCACCACCGAGGCTAGACCATGTTGCCATCAGCCTTCCCGTAGGTAGAATCTTGATCTTTGGTGGTTCGGTTGCAGGGCTTGACTCGGCTTCTCAGCTTTATCTTCTTGATCCAACGGAGGAGACACCGGCATGGAGGATATTGAATGTTAAGGGAAGCCCACCGCGGTTTGCATGGGGACACACCACTTGTGTGGTCGGAGGAACTCGGTTGGTCGTCTTAGGTGGCCAAACCGGAGAAGAATGGATGCTAAATGAAGCTCATGAACTGTTATTAGCCACCTCTACTACCACAGTCACCTCGTCATTTCATGAAGAGAAGAGGCTCTTCTAGATGTTTTGATCAAAAATGGGAACTCAAAAACATCTTATTTGCTCTGTACATGGTGGAATCTGTGAGTTTGATCCGTCTATGTTCTGTTCATGTGTTATTTGTATATGCAAGATTGCGAATTTGATTTGTATATTCTTTCTTTTGTAGTAAAATTTTGTAGGTGACCTAATGATCCATAACCAAGCTTAAAAACTAATCTGTAAATGAAATCAAGTTTCATATATTTTTATTTTTTTCACTGATTAGTACTCAAGGTTTTCCTTCTCAAGAGATCTCTCACTTTAGAGAGATGTGGACACTACTCATACTTTCAATAGCCTATAAGTGACTCATTGCCTTTGCATCACTCAAACTATCCATTGTCTTCCTTTTTGACCAAGCAACACCGATGTTGTAAAGGAATCAAGTCATAGTTCCGTTTAAATTGTTTTATTTCTCTATATTCGATAAACATAAATAAAATCTTAAGTAATTTTATATGATTTGAAAACATACTTCAAACTAATGATATATTCTAAAAACACTAAAAAGTTTTTTACTTTTAAGTTGGATATACAATATTACCTTTGGATAAAAAATAAAATTTGACATAAGAGGTTATCACATAGAAAATGAATTAAATGTTGAGATATCTTTTTAAAAAAGCTGATTTCCAATTATCTAAAAAAATTAATGGTAGATTTTTTTTTAAGAATAAAATTAACAAATAGACAAGCGTTGGTTAGAAAATGACGAGAAAACCCTAATAAATCCCTACCATCAGTATAAAATCCTTCAAAAAGTCGACCTAATATGTTTTCACCTTATATCTCTGCGTCTCATATTTCAGCAAAGAAACTGTAGGATTTTGGCTTAGCTAGCTGCTGTAACGCTCCATCCATCAGGTTTGTCGATGTAAACAAGAAGCCTTAGTAACGTCTTGTGTGTGTTTGATTTGAGTAGTAGCAGCTTACCGGAATCGACTAGTGCAAAGGTTGTGAATTTTGATTGATTCTTGGTTTTTTGGTTGATAAAGGCGGTTCCTTTTTGGTGAAAATAATGTCGCGGAACAAGGGTTTAGCTGAACAAGACCTAAGTAAACTTGATGTAAGTTTGCTACATCCTCTGTCTCCCGAGGTCATTTCTCGTCAGCCAACCATAAACATAGGTAATTTTGCGAAAGCTTGATTTTTTTTTCTTCATAAGTTTCGATCTTTGAGTTTCTCCAAAGATAACTCTTGTATATCTATCGATCGATCTCAGGAACCATTGGGCATGTCGCACACGGAAAGTCGACTGTTGTGAAAGCTATTTCTGGTGTTCAGGTAATGAACTATTTCAGTTTTGAACTTGTTTTGTCTCACTAGAGCTAGAGGGTTTGGTTTGATTAATTCGACTCGATCACACACATGCAGACCGTCCGTTTTAAGAATGAGTTGGAGCGTAACATTACCATCAAGCTTGGATACGCAAATGCCAAGATTTACAAATGTGAGAATGACAAGTGCCCTAGACCAATGTGCTACAAGTGAGTTCTCTTCCTTTATGCTTAAGTGTTTCAGAGCTTAGTATACAAGTACCTTCCTTGATTCTCTGTTAATTTCTAGGTCCTATGGGAGTGGGAAAGAAGACAACCCAATTTGTGAATTTGATAACAGCAAGATGAAACTACTGAGGCATGTCTCATTTGTCGATTGCCCGGTATAATGAATGAGTTTTACACTTCTTATCAGTCAAATACTGGAGCTTTTACTTCTCACTTATAGCCAACCATATTGCCTTATTCATTGATCAGGGACATGATATTCTCATGGCGACTATGCTCAATGGAGCAGCGATTATGGATGGTGCTCTACTTCTGATTGCTGCGAATGAGACCTGTCCACAGCCACAAACTGCTGAACACCTTGCTTCTGTCGATATGATGCACCTTAAGCATATAATAATCCTTCAGAACAAGGTTGATCTCATTCAAGAAACCGCCGCCGTGAAACAGCATGAGGCCATTCAGAAATTTATAATGGTTTGGAGAGTTCTCTCATCTCTTAAGTAAGAATATTTCTTTTTGCTTCATCAGTTGGTTAAGGCTACAAAGTAAACCTTTTTTGCAGAACACAAATGCGGAGGGTGCACCTATAGTTCCTGTCTCAGCACAACTGAAATACAACATTGATGTTTTGTGCGAGTACATTGTCAAGAAGATTCCAATCCCCAAG